TTTATTTACGCTACGGAACCATTTTGGTGGTGCCAAACTTAAAATAGTTTGGTGGGCCATCACTAAACCGGAATGGCTTGGTGGGCTACCTTTTTTTTTCAGTGTAGCTCTTCTACTACGTATTTTGTGTCAAAAAATACGTTTACACCGTCCAATTCAATGGCATAAACAACGAAAGATGGCTATTCAAATATTTTTGATCACAATTCTTTTCTTTTTGTTAAATTTTCCATGGACATGTTTATCCGTCTGTCTAATATTTAATATAAATATTGATCCTAATGGAGACGCAACACGTGTACTCTTTTATTTTCCTTATTATATTGTCTTACTCTTTCCAATGGTTTGTTGTACGACATTGCCGGCACTTAGAACTAAATTGAGAAAATTTCTTATCTGCTATCAACATGAACATCGTGTAATTCCTTTCAACACTGTACAAACACATCAAAATTTTTAATCTTCATTTCTTTATATCTTGCGAAACGCGACCTGGAAGAGAGTGTTCAAGGCTTAGGAGTAGAAATTTGGACCCACATCCGTTCACAGGCTGTGACCGACAGGTAACAAAGGCATCACAGACATGACTTTCTCTTGGACTCCTGTGAAGAACCTAACAAGCAACTTACACATTATGCAGCCTATAGACCAAACTCAGTATTTCGGAATGAGAGCTACATCGTGTTTCACATTTTAATCCCGTCAAGATCAAGCTGAAAGCTTTTTTTAAACAATAAAATATATTAAATATTATAATGCATAACTGACGTTAAATCCATAGATTATAAATGACACTTTCTCATACACCAATTCCAGCCAAGGGATAAGACATACTTTGAAAAAAAAAACTCATAATGTATTATAATAATATTTCTCAATGAACTAGGTCATGTATATGCAAGATGTTGTAAAAGCTTTACGTCCTTGAGATTCAACCTTAGAGTAAAATGATTTTACTAAATTGAAGCCAAGAGAAAACTGCACCTGTTGATACTCAATGAAAATAGCTACGAACGTATTTTTTAAAATAATTGCCGAACTTTCCATATGTGCAGATATTTTATAACTGTTGGGTATCGAATATTCATGTGATACTGAACGAAATATTAAATAAAATAATTCTCTATGATATTTTTTAGATGATTTCATAGAATTCGACGAATTCTTCAAATCTATGTATCTAAAAATTATTGTAATCCATCTTTTTCAGGAAAAGAGTTTAAACAACTTAGAAAATACAAAAAGCATTTGAAAACTGCACTTTTTTCATGTACAAGAAAAACGCTCGATCATTCAGTGAAGCTTACTTTTCGTTACTATTTTCACTGTCTCAGGGTTTTCGAAATGTACTCATTCGAAACCATGAGAAAAACTAAATCGAATGTGAAGGTAATGATGATCATACAATTCATTGACGATCTAATTATTATAAGAAAATGCGTCACATAGATAAAATAAAAGAGCAATAATAGCAAGCATTCATATTCGTCGCGTCTGTTGAACAGAAAGATCAATGAAAAAGAATAGTTAGTATCGAATTGATCGTGTGTATTTCACAGAAAAGCACTCTTTTTTATTCACACTTGTAAGATTACACCAAGACGCGAATTAACACTTGCTGAAAAAATAGAGTTATATTCGCAAAAGTGAACAAAATATTCCACATCGTACGTTGGCCGATGATTACAAGATCTGAATTGGCAGTATTTCAAACATTATCAACCGTAAAGCCGAGTACATCGAGAACTATGGACAAAACGAAAACTCAAATAAAAAGGGTAATCTACGTGATGAACTTAGTCAACAGGTAGATCAAAAAATATATGAATAGTTCGTGGCGCAACGTAGTAAGGATATTCCAATCTCCGGACCCCTCATGCACGAGCAAGCTAGACAAATTCGCCAACAGCTGGGTGGTTCGAATGCTGACGACTTTAAAACAAGTAATGGTTGGTTAGAAAATTTCCGCAAACGTCATGGTATAAAATATCGAACTATTAATGGTGAATCAGCAACTGTTGATGAATGTAATCAACGTTTGTAAATAATAATCGAAAAATACGATCCCAATGACACTTACGACGCCGACGAAACCGGCTTATTCTTTAAAACGCTACCAAATCGGTTGCTTGTTTTGGCTAAAGACACTTGTAAAGGTGGAAAAATATCAAAGGATCGCTTTACAGTTCTGCTTTGTACCAATATGACAGGTACAGACGAATTAAAGCCGTTTCTTATCGGCAAGTGTTCTATTGTATGCTATTTGCCATCTTTTCATTTTTAGGCAAGTCAGCTAATCCACGATGCTTCAAGCATTTAAATGTCAAAGATTTACCTGTTGTATGGCGATTAAACTGAACAGAAGTACGATTAAGCAAAACGCAAAATATTATTGTTTAGTGACCATGCACCATGTCATTATCGTGAGTAAACTTATTTTCTACATTTTGCAAAATCTAACCGAATTTCCCTTAGGTCAACATCTTGTAAAACATGTGATATCACTTTGTCTCGTTGCTACATCACGTGATGATAACATTATCACAGCTTTGGATGCTGTAACTTAGACAAAAACAATGCTTGGGAAACTGTTACTCAATCAACAATTGACAACACATTTCGTATGGCAGGCTTTATTAATCGAAACAGTCAAGATATTATTGCTACTACAATTGATAATGAAAATGATGTAGATGAACCGGTTGTTTACTGGTGATATTACAGCAGCGTTAAAAGATCTCGATTTAGTTTTTAACCATCTTCATATGAATGGACAAAATCTTTCGGCAAATGAATTCGCGGAAATGGACTCGGACATACCAGCTTTTAATGAGTAGAATGACTCAAACAATCTAGCAACAAAACGGACAACAACAACGACGGAGTCGATAACATACCAAATGAGACACCACCAAAGCTCACTGATGCGATGGAAATGGTTCGACAATTACATCTTCTAGCTTCTAAACAATGAACTTTAATTTATTATATATTCAAGGATTTTTCTTTTCACTTTGTTATTTTTTGTGTAAAATTCGAAATAAATAGGCTAACAAATCGAAGAGATACTTTTCTATTCTATGCACTACCTAACTGAACAAAGTTCTAGCAAAAAAGACGCCTACTCATCAGCCTATGACACATACCATACACTGTGTACACGCAAGCGCTCATTCAATGCGACACCTCTATGTAATGAGCATCTCCTATGGTGAACGGGTTTTGAACGATCCCAATAGTGTCCACTATAGAGAGGTTTTACTGTATTTTATTTTGATTTTCTAAGTTGTTTAAACTCTTTTCCTGATAAAGATGGATTACAATAATTTTTAGATACATAGTCTTGAAGAATTCGTCGAATTCTATGAAATCATCTCAAAAATATCATAAAGAATTATTTTATTTAATATTTCGTTCACTATCACTAGTAACGCTCGTCGAGGCAGACTCGCTATACCCTCGACTGAATCACTGATTGAAAATACAATAATCTTATGTACATTTTATGCAAAGAAAACGCAGAAGTATAACCTTTGAAAAGGTCCTCTGAGACTGATCTTCACTCGTCTCACACTCTTCAAAAGAATTAAAGGGCTACTTGTGTTCCTTTTAATTATTCGGTATTCCTGACTGACAAACACTGTTCACAGGAAGCAGAAGTTCGCTATATAAATGACTATTATGGATTTGCACCTTTAAAGATGTTCTCCTTTTTCTAAAAGAAGCACAAATTCAGTAAGATCAAATGAGACTCTGTATAGATTTCGAATCCGAACGTGTCGGATTGTTTATACTTTTGTAACAAACTAGATTACCAGGCACAGCTCCAAAGGTGTCCCTATCTAGCATATAACCGCCCGTGCTACTACTAAAAAGTATAGAAAATCAATTAACATTCCATCAGCATCCGAACATCGGAGATTATCTCCTTATTAAAAAGCTTGAAGGCCTACAAAAACTTTCAATATATCGAAGCTCAGTATGTAACTTGTGAATAAGTGTATTTTCGGATTACTGGCCTTTGGTATGCGACAGTTAACCAAGCGTGCTTTTATTTTTTCGTAATCAACTTTTTCTATGTAGCCCTCCTCTCAGCCATGGGCGAAATATTTTCTTCATCGTTGCCACGTCCCTGTCCCCTCACCCCTCCCAAACGATGCTTCATGAAGTTTTGAGCAATTTCGAAAAAATATTTTTTTTTTACCTTTCACCTTGACACCCATAAACAGACAAACATACGAACTATTTTTTTTCATATGACCCTCCTTTCAGCCGAGGAAAAAAATGAGTCTTATTTTCGGTATAATGTAACAATCTATCTCACAAGATAATTTTCATTTTATATATTTTCTAAGTTAAAGATAAACCAAGTCTGCTGTATAAAAACAAAACAATAGTCTTTATAGAGATTATGATGACGTCAATTTTGAACTTTATATGAGAAAATAAAACTAATATTGTTTCTAGAATCTTCTTATGCTTCGAGTGTAAGATGGTAATTAAATATGTTTGCGTATATAGTATATGTCAATGAATTTATTTCATATACGTAGATTTACTTTTGTTTCTATAAAGAATAATTGAAACTATAACACTATCAATGGCAGATATTTTTCAAATAGTTAATTTACATTTAACAAAAATTTTAACACCTATCGTTATTATTTGTGGTATCATTGGTAACTCTTTTAATATCGTTGTACTTACACGACGTTGCCTCTACAATCATGCTTGTTCTCGTTATTTCCTTGCACTATCAATTAATAATCTTTACTTTTGTACTGTAACTACGACTCAACAATATTTGTCTAATATTTCTTTGGTTGATTTAGCTCAAACATCAATTCATTCATGTAGATTTTTTGTATATGGTAATGTGTTATGTGTTCTTCTTTTACCTTATTATACTGTGATTATATCAATTGATCGATATTGTGCAAGTTCAAATAAAGTTCAAATAAGAAATTTAAGTAATATCAAAGTATCACGATATGTTATTACTATTGTTACCTCAATGTTTGCACTGTATGCTTTAATTTATCCAATATTAGTTACATTACGACAAGATGATGGATTCGGATGTCGAATACGATATGATATGCCTTACAAGCAAATATTTGGACTTCTGTTACCTATTACAGTAGCAATAGTTGGACCTATTCTTATGACTATATTTGGCCTTTTAACAATTAAAAATATCAGTCGAAATCGTATCATACCAGTGGAAAATTCATTTTATCGTCGTACCGAAAGTCAATTATTTCGAATGTTATTTTTTCAAATAGGAGTATATGTTATTTTAAATACTCTAAAGGGAATTACATTTATTATATCAAATTTTCCGTTGTCAATTGTCTCAACATCACAATTTCGTTTAGTATCTAGTTTTTCTGATATTTTATTTAAAATATCATTTTCTACACCATTTTTTTTGCTATATCCTATCAAGTCGAATTTATCGAAAAGAACTTGGTGGTCTTATAAAACAATTATGTAGGTGCCATTTTCAAAATCAAATTCAACTAGTGACGAGCCGTCAGCAGGGTAATATGGGACGATTGCCTAACCAAAAGTAGTTTAAAGAAATAATAATTTGACAAAATTGATGCCTGAAACAGTGATTTTCAAGAATTGCACGATCAAATATTTGTTTGTTAGTCCGTCGATAGAATAATTCAACCCAATTCATAATTAACATTTTTAGTATTCAAATCTGTATTTTGGCGAATAATAATGAATAAATAAATCAATAAATATTTAACTATGAATCACTTATATATGTTGCAGGGGAAATTGGAACCTAGGGCGATTTAGAATTGCCCTAGGGCAAATGGGAATTCTAATCTCTTCTAGGGGAAATTGAGATGACACTTTTTTCCTATCATTTTACTATGAAAATATCATATTCCAGTTTTCCCTAAGGGGAAATTGGAATAAATTCCTCAATAACATTACTTTTTCCGGACAACGAGAATAGAGAGTATATTTCTAAAGCAATTAGGTACATGTATTTCATTAAGTTTTGAAACTAATATCTTTCTACAAAAACTAACGAGACTAGAAAAACAACGCTCTACTTGAACTGCAACAAATATTGTTATTTGCTCTGGCATTATCAAACATTAGCACAGGAATCTTTTTTCCCCGGATGACACTTCGTGCAATACTTGACATCTTTAATCTTACACGGGCAAGCTTTTGTGGAACATTTTTCTGAACAGTTGCACGCTTCTACAAGATTAAGCGCACCAACTGAAATATATTTTTTACATGCTTGAATGAATGTCATCGTCGGTAACGTCGTTGGTTCCACAGCACGTAAGCCTGCAAAATAACATTTATCTAAATCCAATAGATCTTGAACACCATAAGATATTGATAGAACGCCCCGCAACGTGCATAAGTGATACAACAGATCATTATTAGAAGAGCAACGAATTGACACAACTTTGCAGGGAAGAATTTTTGGCGTTGTATTCGTTCGATCCACACGATCAATTTTGAGGCCAACGAGATCTCCTTTCTGATACTGTTTTTGTTTCATGGCTTCATCATAGATCTTTTGTCGCTTGGCAATCGCTTTCATATAATCAGCTTCTGCTGCACCTCGAATTCGTTTATGTCTGTTGTCATCTATATGCGTATCCGGAACTTGAGTACCATTTTCGTTAATCACAAAGCAAACATCTGAAGAATGGATTAATGAAGCCACCAGAATATTTAGATATTCTCCTTGTATAATTCTTTCTGCTAACCTTCAACAGTTCCATAGCTGTCGGAATCAGAATGCGAATGAATTGATTCACAACACACTGTCGCGACTATAGCATTAAGAGCAGAACTAGCAGCAGTACTGACCGAACACGAATCTGTTTCTGGTGGTTGAAGTTGAGGCGTTTCATCATTTGAATGAGAGTTGTTTGTCAGACAGTCCCTGCTAGGATTATGTGTCACTCCAGTTGTAATTGGACTATTCGTAGATTGAACAGCTAGACACAAAAAGGAGGAATAAATTGCAGAGAGGCGAACAATAACACCAAACTCACATTGATTCAATGACTAAACGAAATCAACGGGAAGATTCTCTTCATCCTCTACTCCTGCTTTACACAACTTTTTCCACATTTCGAAATCGGATCGTGGAAGCTGTCCAAAAACAACTTCGTATGGAGTTTTTTTCGTGGTATGAGTAGTGCTGGTGTTAATCCCGTGCGTTACAGGACCTAAACCTAAACAGGGTATGTCAGATATAAATTATTTATGTGTGGGATGCATAAATGAATGCTCACCCTTCAACCACTTTCCCAAAGCCACCTCGAGCGTTTGGTTACCGCGCTCAATAAGTCCTTGGGTCTCTGGATGGCGAGCTCTCGCGTTGATTATGACTAAATCTACCCAAGTATTTTTCAAGTCCTACGAGAAACAGAAATAAATATGGTGACATCTGAGGACCGTAAACAAAATCTCACTTTTATCCCTTTCGCTACGAACTCTTCGCCATTGTCCGATTGAAGAATACGCGGAGGGCCAAAAGAATAGAATTGCTCTAGTAATTTTTCAGCAACCGGTTCCGCTTCCTTCGTTCGTAAAGGATACGTCCATGAAAATTTACTAAAATGATCTTTAGCCCAGGTCGATCATTCCGGCGGGTTCCTTGCCGCCGCATTCCGGCCGGAGCCGACCGTGCCATAATAACCTCGGAATGAACCTCTCAGTATTTTGGCGACATCTTTGTTATAACTTATCCGTTCGGATTCAATTTTTTGTTCAAAATATTCGTCATGTTAGCCTCTACAAATACCTATATTTCTTATTTCATTTTAACCTATTGCGTCTTTGATATAAAATGAAAAGTGAAGATCTTCAAAAAGTAGTTTTTCGTAGTTATTTCTGTCTCATTTTAACACCACTTTTTTTGTCTACTTGATCTCAGCTCGCAGCTCAAACACGTTGGTTTGGGAAGTTGAAAATATAGTCAAGATCAAACAGTTTTCCATCGGAAAGTAAAAGGCGCATCGTGTCAACTTTTCAAAAGCTATTATGGGTCCAGTTAACGAATTCTTTTCGTTTCTTTCTGTGTTGATCAATTGTTCTTGGTTATAAATAAGAATATTGCTATTATTCTCTACTAGTGGCAGCAAGCGGTACTATAGATTTTAGAGATCTGCAATGCAGATAGACACCGGAAAAAAATGCGTAAAAACGATGGTTTAATGATCAGCAGCTGTTAAATCGCCGGTTTAACGAAATTTCAGCACGTTAGTTAAGGAGTTTTGTCGGACTGGATAGGAACGCTTCCGTTGCGTTACTTTTATTACTAAGAGTAAGTCATTGTTTTGCTTGGCGGAAAATGTTTCAAACTGAGTTAGACTTCACAGTGTGAATTTAAACATTGATGATCTCTATTTTTACAAAGCATATTTTGCTTATCGTGTAAAGTTTTGTTTAGTTTTCTTTGGTTATACGCGTTTATTCGAATTTTCACTGATAATATAAGAAATACGTGTTTTGTCAAATGTTTTCTTTTTAGACACTGAAAAGCTGGTATAGATTTGATTAAAAAATGACCACAAAAGAAGCATCTCCTAATCTACTACAATGGGTCGACGTTAACGTTAATGGTCAACTATACGCCAGTTTAAAGATTCAACATTCAAAGACCTTTACCCATCGAAGAATTTCAATTGCTGCCTAACATCCATTTTCTGAACACTGGCAAATATCCTATAAGCAAAAACGAGGAAGTCACGACGCAGATCGTTGAAATCTTGCATACGGATAATATTATTTATATGCAAAGTATTTCAACAACTGCTTCAGATTTAAATTCTCGTGGCAGAGATTGACTGGATATACCAAAATGGCTATGGCGTTTTTTTTTTCAAACCAATGTTTGTTGTTACATTGATATCTTTATTCAGTTACTATGCCGCCACAAAAGTTCTTTGTCAATATAATCATGATCTAGCAATACTCAATACGTTTTGTCCCGTCCAACACACTCCACCCATCAGTGCATTAGCTGAGAGGAGTGTTGTATTGGCTAATAGTTTGAGGAATGCTGATGTTAGTGCACCGACGCGCTTTGTTCAAGCTAAAACTTCGATAATTGAACTGCGCATGCGCATTTTATACAGTGACAATTGATGAAAAAATCAAAAATGAACTGGGAGATCAAATGTCTCAGTTGAAGCATCTCATACAAGAGGGCGCAGATACATCAACTAGTTTGCTGGCTTCATTTGCGTCTACACTGGATAAATTACGAATCTATACGAAATTTGCATTAGAAAATTTTTCCGAAGCTGCCAATCAACAAATATTGGATCGGTTAGGAAGCGATACTGCAAATAAACTAACCAAATCGTATGAACAATATCAATCTTCAGTATCTTCATAAATTACTTGTCTATTACACGACGCTCAACAAACTTCGCTAACGTTGGAAACTATTCAAAAGCTAAATTTACATGGACGATATATTTCTGAAAAACAAATGGATGAATCAAAAAAATGACTGGCTTTGGAATCGTATATTTGGTAGTAATACGCATGATATTACCAAACACGAGCGTAACTTAGAGATACTTGCCATGTTTGTCGAGTTTGTGAATATTATGTTGGAAAATCTAAATGGTTTAACCATCAAATTGCGAAAGTTCAAAGATGATGTAGACAATCTGAAGCAAATAGAATTTCTTTTAGAAGAAGAAAAAGCATCATACATATCTCCAAAACGACATGTACAGTTACTTAATGAAGCTCTCGGTAAATTACGTACTGCAAGTGATACTTTTCAGGCGAAAATACATAGAGAAAACCCTTCTGATGATACTTTATAGATTGTAGACTTTATCTAAAAATATTTTACAATGATTTTTCATAATGATTCTATGTAGATGGATTAGTTTTTCTTAATAAATTGCAGAATACTTATTCAAGAGTGCAAGTTTGCTTAGTTCTCTTTCATTCGCTCGACATCCTCATCATAGAGAATAAAAACGTGAAAAGTATTTTGATTTCTTATGTCATTATATTCGAAAAAGAGAGATTGTATTTATTATGGATTAGCAAGTGCAAAAACTTCTGATGATGACAATTCTCGTGCGTAAACTTGAAGTTCATCAACCGAACCATAAAATTGTCCCATTTGTATTGTACCTGTGTTACAAACACCTAGCCCAAGTAATGAACTTCCAATGGTTAATGTCATCGGAATGCTACCAGCTTGAAAAGCAAATGAAACTGAACTTGATCCATATTGACTACCGTTAACATATAATCGTTCCCCATTTTTCAATGAATAAGTTGCCACGACGTGAGTCCACGAAAAGAGAGAAACACTAGGACCGGTGATAGGAACATTAGTTGCATTCCAACTATTGATTGCTATTTGTCCCGATGAAGTCAAGCCCATAATTGGTAAACACCATGCATTGGTTTGTGCACCATCCACCCGACTACTCAAATGCATAATTGTCCCGCCAGAAGAATTCGTTGGATAAATCCAAATCGAAACTGTGTAAGGCCATGCATTCGTTCCTAAACGGGTTAGTCCAGTTATTTGGACGTAAGATGATAGAACTGGAAATGAAATGGCTTGATTCACTCGTCCCATCGACGTGTACGTATAGTTGAGTCCTGTTCCATTGATTGATAATGGCCCACTGTCGACAAGAGTACCACTATCAAATGTGAGATGAGCAACAAGAGTTGCATCAGATAATATTATACTTGTATTTCTTATCCACGGATAATATTGAACAGAATCTAGGCATCCACTGAAATAATTATTTGGGCTATTGATAACCCCTGTACCAATAGTGAAATCCCTAAACAGAGAGTTAAAAGTAATGTGGCAAAATAAGAGAAAATCTTTCGTACCCAGAAGAACCTAAATACGGTCCAGCGCCACTCCGTGATACATCCAAATATCCGTTGATATAAATCGTTTGTGAACGTGTTGAGTAATCATAAACAACAGCCTACCCATCGAAAAATTGAATGAATATAATTTCTTCGTCCATCAACTTACTAAATGATACCATCGATTTGCAATCAAAGTCTAAGCAGAAAAGTTTCTAGATAAAAACTTCCACAGAAAATATTTACTTGACTTGAGGTGAGATCATCATTGCCAAAACCAAATTGAACACGTTGATTTCGAATGATTAAATGAAAAAAACGATCGGTAACGTTCTGATCAAATTGATCAAGAATGTAATTATCCGTGTATGAACTATTGTAATAGAATGAATCTCCGTACAACCACATTTCAAATGTAAATGATATATTCGCCAGATTCAACAATGGTGGATTATTAACAGTTACCGACGATTGATTCAATTGAAGACATGTACCAATTCTATTGTAGGTTGAGGATTTATATGTTGGTCCATTGTTACCGATCCCATTGAAATTATTATACAAATCTTGTAAATTGTTATCAAATGTCCAATAAATCGGTACTTCTACAGAATCAGGGAAAGCTGAATCAGTAATAATTATTTAAAGGTTTTACTTAACACAGCCGTTGTAGTAGTATCAATCGTACTGACTAAAGTAGTTTCTGACTCTTTCATTGCTTTGATTTGTTTATCTACAAATCAGATGAAATATACTTCTTCTTTTACCGTTTGAAACAACATTACCTCGAATGACTAAAGTGATCATCGTTGTTAAGATGATCCCGGAAGAGAGTCCTCCAATGATTAGTCCGATCACTAAGTATGTAGCATGCATTTTCAATCTTCAATTATTCGACAATAAAAGTACTCTCTGATGAAGCTCCAGTCACTGTACTTTTATTTGATAACGAAAAAAAAGCACATTTTATTGGTATCTTTTGTATAATTAATCAGCTACACTTCTTACGTTAATCAATAATCTTGCTTATTTTCTTACTTTTGATAGCATTTTTTCTTCTTCTTTAGACGTGAATATCTTCTAGAGGGAGATCGATAAAAAATTTAATTAGTCTTGTTTACTTTTCTTTATAATGCGAAACTTACTTTCGCCTCTTTCACGTTCTCAGGGTGTGCATAAAAATAATTACTACAAGTCAGTACATGCAGTCGATGAATCGTTAGGTATTAGCCTAGATCTTGCTGGCTCTCCTAGCAAAGTTGAAAAATTCATCGTAGAAAACTCCAACTTATTTTTCAATAAACTACAATCAATTTTTAGTGCTGTTCTATTCGTATTCGACCATTTAGAGATGTAATCTTTCTATTTCTTTCGATTCCTATTAAAATACATTGCCTTATCATTGGATTGTACCATAACGTAAACGCGTATATGTAATATGATTTCGAAAGGAAGAACAGTCATTTACTGTCTGTAAGATGAAAGCTTCTACCTTAATTTATATCGTTTTTACACTTCACGCTTGTTATTCCATAAAAGAACAGCTTTTGATTTCTGGAAACATATTCTCCTTGTCAGCATGTGGTACAGAGCTATACATAGTGTTGCTTATGGTTCAGCAGGCGACGTGGATGAATTGAAAAATACATGGGAAATGGATTTAGTTAACATAAGTAAACGTGTGTTATCTAGATACATATTCAGATGAGTATGTTGTGAGTATTTTAGATTTCATAGCAACGCGAGTATGTGCGAATGCTACAGTTTACAATTCTGTCGGCGTAGGCTAAAATAAAAGTGATTCAAAGTACATGAACATGATCACTAGGTACGGCTCGACAAAAAATAGGTTTAGTATGATATTCATTACAGTGATGCTCTGGAGCTGTCCCCGTAGCTAGAGCAATGATTTTGTCACAATAAGTATGAATCCTGTGTATTCACTTTGCCTTGGAATTCTTTAGGTTACTCTCCCTGTTAACATTGCAAGAACTGTGGATACACAATGACGATCGTTCTGACGTACAAATTCAATATAAAGATCATGAAAATGGTGTTCATTTGTGTTAAGCCATAACGTTGAATTATGATCATACAACAAATGATACATTCTTGATCTCCAAGTATTATGAAACATGGAAGCAGAGAAAAAGTGCAAATGTTTGAGATGGCACATGCAGTTATTGATAAAGAGAAAACGAATAGGTTAGTAATTCATATGACACGTAAAATAAATATTCGTTTTTCAAAAGATTTCAGAAAATCTCTCGTTGCATTGCCCATTTGGTTTTCCTCGTCATATTTGTATTGAAATTGAGATGAAAAGAAACGATATGTTCGTCATCGTGTCCATCGAAGTACTGATGCATAGGTCCTGTCAACCATGGATGCGATTGAGGAAGAGATATGCGCATGTCTTCTTTTTTTCAGTCATGATGAAATACCATTTGATTTCAATATCAATCCGTTTTATTCAATCGAAAGGTTTCGTTCATTGACTATCCAGCAGCATCTCCTTTAGCTTTTGTTTTTCATGTACCATGATGGACCCGACGGATATCAACTCGCCATTAGGTAGTTTTCGTAGAATTTCTCCAAAATCGGAAACTCGTGTATCACTGCCTGTGAATGTTATCATTCGTAATTTCGGAAGGGAATTTTCCGGCAATAATGAACGAGTGTTTCCAATAAAGCGTGACACTTGTAGAGAATGCAAGGAGAACAATCGAGAAAGGATGGAATGTAAAAAACTCGTTTGAACTCTGCTTTGAATATTGAGATACGTTTAGAAAAAAGATGATCAGCCTTGATGATAAAAATACGAAGGTTTATGGCAAAGAGAAAATATTCGAGATGAAGAAGTTTTGGAAGAACTGAAGTTATTGTTGTATGATCGTCGTTGTTTCAACTGACCCATATGCAGATCAACAAACCGATGCAAATGACGATCATATGAATAATCGCTGAGCGATCGAATATTTTGTGTGAACAGACTCGGAAATTCAGGTGAAGTGTCATTGATACACAGGCGTATTCGAAGCTGTGGTAAGAGAAGTAGACCATTGATTAACTCCTGACCTTCCAAATATGAAAATATTATACAGAATAATTCAATCGGCAATTGTTCGAAGCGTATTTTTTTAAAATACCCCTTCGGTGCTTCAATCGCGCATGCACATATGATATCTATGGAAATGTATTAGACTGATCAAACAAAAACTTCAAGTTTTTTTCTTTTCTATAATATTACTGAGTAACTAAGCACCTAGCCATCATGTGACAATCCAATAGAAAAGTCGAAAGCGATGATGATAAATGTTTTCCTTTATTTTTTTAATTCTTTCTCTTCCTTTAAAGAATAGTGCACATTGAAATACTTATTCGAACAACAAAAGAGAAAAGAGAGGTTATCCTCAAAAGCATCATAACATACATAGTAAGAAAACTTGGACGGTTCAGATGAAACTAATCATCAACAAAACAGGTTATATACATCGTGTGTGACATCGGCAAGAATTCTTTAAATACATAACATAAGCTGTGCTTACTCCTATTGTTCTCAATAGATTTACTTGTTCTTAGTAGCAGGTACTAGACAGAAAGTCTTATTTTTACATGTCGATGTTCTTTCATGATATAAGATTCAGTTTTGGTACTTTTATTTTTCATGTATTCCATTGGTATAATTTCCCAGTGAGAAAACTTTCAACAACATGGAAGTTAAATATAATATTCGACTAGAATAATGTGACAGGAGAAAATCGCACGTGAAAATGTTCTATAACTTTATTATTGACTGTGATAAGACTTTGTTGAGATGGATAATATGAAATATAATGCCGTCAATGCGTCACGTTGTTGACACCATATTACATCATTTGAAAAGTTCTCGTGTATTACTTTGAAAACATTTACCATATTCAATAAAGGAACACACTGAGTCCTTTTTTATACTTACTATCTGGTTGCATTCACAAGAACTCCACTAATACAGATGTAGACGAATGAAATCGCTTATCTCAACTATATATCTCGTGTAAATCTAACGTACGGTATGGTTTAGCGCTGTTCACCATTGAGGTTGTTAGCAATTTCATCAACATATTCGTCTTTTCATTCGACTCAGCGCCATTGATCTACTTGTCACTTATCTTGTTCTTTGCAAACTAAAATGCTTCATCAGAGTTGGTAGTGCAACCGTGACATTACACTGTCTTATTTTAGTAGCACTCAGTCAATATCTTCTTAGATCTCGCAACATTTCACATCATCGATGGATCAATATGTGACATACTCAACACCATAGCTGCAACAGACAACACTTACAATCGTTTACTCATCTGCAGCTTGCTCTCCATAATAGTCTTATCGGCACTCTCATTGCTGACTTGGTGGAACATACCATAAAAAATTCTGCGACGCGAATCGATGGAACAATCTCTGATCCGTTTGCCGCTTGATCAGACGCATATATCTACTGTATACAAAGGGTCTTGCCACCAGTGTATATCGAGCAGCTCAAGAGAATACTGCCAATAGCGTATTCTACAGCTCTAAACTGTTCCACCGAAGTTTTCTAGATCTATTTCTAAAGAGGCAAGATCGAATTCAACCTAAGAACATAAAATTGATGTTCCAATTAACAACATCAAGATCAATATATGATCAATAAAATTCCATATTGTTTTGTGCGTAGTCGAAAATAAGTTTATCTGAAAGATGTGAATATGAGCGATCCCGTATCCAGTGCACTCTCATCTTTGATTTTCTACAAAAAAAGTTTTTTCAGCGCGAAACTGAGTGTGTCACTGATCCATAATATTCATCATCGGAATATTTTTGCTAACAAATTGAAGCTTTTTCATCTCTCTGTAATCAAAGGGATTTAAAGACAATTAATGACGATATCTCCAACTGACACATATAACTTTGATCAAATAAAGGATTGAGAAACAATCCTATAAAAGCGCAAGAAAATTTATACCGCAACAATCACACAACATTCATTTCAATTGAAATATGAATCAAACAATTGTTTTCTTTCTCCTCCTCATAATCAATGTTATTTGCTTGGCGAAAGCAATCGACACAAGTACATGCAGTTGCACATGTTGCTCGGGAAGCGGTTGTAAACCAGCATTTCAAGGTGATTTCCATCTGGATTCTTGTTTTATTATGCGGTGTATGGAATTATGCAGCGCAAAATATGCAGCGTGTCCACTCTTCGGATCCGGCGGCCATCTAGGCGCACAGTGCGACATACGTAAATCATCCTAATGCTCATTTTCATCCATTCGAAATTGCTTTAAAAATTATTAATAATAAATAATATTTCAATGTGATTGAAAGCCTTCAACCACATGCTTCCCTTTCAGATTAGTGAAAAAGCAATTACATGAACTAAGGATGAGGGTATCGATTGGTCAATCATTGACAGTGAACGTCTACAAGGCAACGGTACTATTCCGGGAACGCTTCATACCATACTTTCATCGACAATACTTATTGAGAACCCTACTTGCGCTATCACGGTACTGACTTACCTTTTCTAGTCAATCAATCGTGGACATTCACCAACTCATTTCTCTGTTTAATCGGATCTTCTTGATTCAACTCAGTGCACAGTTCATTTAGTTGGGATTAGGTATGTTGTGAACTCGCGTCCCGCCCTAGATGATCTTCTTTCATTCACGGTCCAGCTTTTGCGCCAATTGGCATCACAGGTGATGTCTATTTTGAAGATTGAAAAAATTACGTTTCGTATCGCTTCGTTTTTCCGAACATTCGGTCACGCTGTCAGATGTTCGGAATTGGCGGTGATAGTGTTACAATATATTCGCTTGGTTTTCAGCACAAACATATATCGTAATCTTTTGCTGCCAGCGTCAAGTTCAATCAGAGAATAACTAATTATCGGAGTTGAAACAGTGATTCGACTCTCACAATGTGTCGGATTGCAAGATATATTTTGATTTACATTGGCAAATACAATAAGCCTCAGCGAGCCCTTTTCTCTTGAGAAGCGGAGACTGAACGGTAAAGAAACACATATTAAATTCTTCAAAAGATCGATTTTCACTGAAGCCATTCATGTTCTAACGTGACCGTAAGCGAGTAAAACATATGATACTTAGAATATTGTTATTCAGAACATATCCAAAATTCAATTTTTACTTAAAATTTTTAAGCTACTTCTGTTGGCGTCATGACGAAATATGAGAATAAATAAACCACTCCATGACAAACGTGCCTGTAGCAGAATATATTACTGCAGCATCCTACTGGTATACTAAACTCATGACAAAAAAGATAAGATGAGTTACCTAGTGTTATTTCTACAGCAGAGTTAGAAATATGTAAAAGAACACGGGCGACCAGTCCTTCTATTCAATTCTAAATTTGAGTATCTTTTCCTCTATATCATCATCACGATATGCCCACTAACAGTGCTTATGTTGAATATGACAATGGAAGTAACAGATGTTGGCAACATCGTCGATCTAAAATGATTATCATCGTTATTCTGCTAATAGCAATACTTGCTATTACACTAGGTCTTTTGTTGAAATTTGTCATTCTTAGCCCAAAGAAATCAAGTCGCGAGATTACTACAATAATATCATCTACATCTGCACCGACAACCATTACTACTCAGAAGTCCGGTAGGTGATGCTATCACTTTTTTTCATCCATTGTATTACGATTGATATCTACAGCGTGGTTGAATACTGGCGACATGAATGTTGCAAGACATGAATATACAGCATCGTTATTACCCGATGGTAAAGTCTTGGTGACGAGTGTGGGTAATCGCCTACACTATGCATTTTAAGCGGCAGTATCACATAGCAATTGTGTTATCAAACGGAAAAGTACTTGTCACCGGTGGATCTTTTGGTGGTACGACACAAGGTACTGCTGAATTATACGATCCAGTAAAGGATTTGTGGGACAAAGCTGGTACAATGATACATAAAAGACATAACCATGTGGGGATCTTATTAAAGAATGGAGAAGCGTTGGTAAGTGGAGGATCCGATGGTATTCATGTTCTCAAAAGTGCGGAGTTATATAATTCATCAACAAGAAGGTGGAAAAGCGCAGGTGATATGAATTATAAACGAGAATTTCATGCTGCATCCCTACTGGCAGATGGTCGTGTATTAATGATCGGTGGATTCTATGGTGGCGCAGGTTTAAGTAGTACTGAATTAGATAATCCTGGATTCTGAGAGTGTGGGCGCGCTTTCGTGACAAAACATCAATCCACACTCATACAATTTGAGAAATAAGGCGCTTTCTTCACAGAATGCATAGATTTTCTTATGTCAAACGATGTAGTTAACTTATGTAGAATACACAGTTTTCAAACCGAAAATCTTCGGTAAGACGCCCACACTACAATATTAGTTTCCTCTACAAAAATATAACCCTATTCAGTACCACTCTGAATTAAGATATGTCAGTGAAGAGAATAATTACAATCCTCCCAGTGATCGTGCTATACTATAATCATGAATGATTCAAGATGTCCTCGAGATTTTTTGCACAAGTCTTCGTAGCCGGATGATTTGTACCAAAAACACGGGTGGTGAATTCCACAGCTTTGAGTGCGTATTCTGCTGCTTCATCAAAACGTCGAAGAAAGGATAATGTAGCAGCGATGGAATTGTACGCAATGCCGATCTTCGTATCATCAGATTGTAATGTAGCCTCATAGATATCTAATTGTTTATATCGATAATCTAATGATTCGTTCAATCGACTTAATTTGTCGCAGAGTTCGATCATATTATTATATAAAATAGTCAGATTAGGATGATTTGGTGGCATACGTTTCAAATAGATATTCAATGCATTTCGACAATAGGCCAACGCATCATTATATTGACCTAGCGCATGATATATACTTGATATATTATTAAAAGATCTGGCAATATCGGGATGATCACCCGGAAGAGAAGCAAGTTGAATGTCGAGCGATTTTTTCATATGTTCTAGAGCTTCTTTCGAGTGTTTCTGCGCTTGATATGCATTACCCATATTCATATGTATTACACCAATATTTGGATGAGTTGCCGGATAGATCTCTATAGATATATCAAGTGCCTTTTGATAATTCAAAAGGCATTTATCATACTCTTTCTCTGTAAAATGGATAAAGCCGATATCATTATAACAGTTGAGAACATTTTCCTTATTTGGCTGCTCGAGATTCGATTCAATTTGCAGTGCTTCATTTAAATAGTGAAGAGATTGCTTTTTGTCCTGTTTGTCATTTTTACAGATCGCAGCCAGACTGATATAGATCGCTGCTAACCGATGGTAATCATTCTTTTGCTTTTCATGCAATTTTTCATGTAGGGAAAGTGCTTTTCTCAAGCAGTCGAATGTCTTCTCATAAAGAGCAAGATGTTCATAAGTTTGTCCGAGTTCTTTAAGAATCATAATTTGTCCTCGTGATGCTGATTCCGATTTCAAAGCCAACAAATAGAATTCAATTGCGAGCAAATAGCCACCCATTTTATAAGATAATTTCGCTAAAGAGTGAGCAGGCACAAGTAATCCAACCGAAATATCACTTCGAAAATGCTCCGTCATCATTTGTAATTGTTGATCAAATTCATTGGTTAGTATTAAATGAATATACCACGGTTCATTGTTCATACCTTTCTTTATATCAACAATTCGAAAAACACTACCAAAGGTGAATAACCACTCCTTTTCGGTTTGTCCAAACGTACTAAACTGTTGTATATTCGCGAAAGGATTCGTTTGATCCGTTAAAGATGAATCTAGAGAAATTTCAAATATCATAGCAGTTTCTTCGTCGCTTGTTACACCTGCGTATATCGTTGCTAATGACAGATCTTCGGTCGTAGAGAAAAAATTCGATATAGATAGCAGACCGCCTTTGTTATTCCGAACCTTTTCGAACTCTTCTTTGGACATACGTTGGCCACGATAGACAACCGATACGGGTGAATCGCTCTTTTGCTGTTCATAACATTGGATTAGATGAAAGTGTAAATTACGGATGAATGTTCGCAGTTTATATAAAACTCCGACATTTTGTGTTCGAAGTGCCCTATTTAGGATTTTATAGAGGAAACTTTCACGTGTGTACCATTTTATTGCTTCATGTGATTGATAGTTCTTTTCGAAGTCATTGATAAATTGCAAAGCAGGAACATTATCAGCATATTGTTCGCGGAAAAATGCGATCATCTCTTCTTTACTATCATTTTTCATCTCAATGAATATATCTTTTAGTAGTTGAGTATACATAAACGCCGCTTCTTGTCGGTTTAGTTGCTCATTAGAACATGTGAATAAATCTCGTGTAATCAGATTGAATGTAACATTTCCATATTCATTGCGGCGAATATCTTCTCGGATTGACTCATATAATGTTTCATAATTGGGAGCAACACCTTTAAATTTTCGAAGAGAAGAAACCAAATTCGATCCGTCATTTGAAGCGAGCAAATATATTGAGTCAATTTGTGACATTTGACATAACAGTTCAATAGTTGATTCCCTGAGATCTTTGTTTGTAATCAATACAATATGTTCATCACCCAAATCAACAACACAATTTAGGAAAGACTCTTCATTATCAAATACTTGTACGCAACCAACAGTTCGATGTAACTGTTGGATATCATCATCATTTGTTGGATAAAGCCAAATAACAACTACATCTTCTAAAATCTTTCTTGATGATATTCTATCCATCTGTATGCTTTTCTGCTTCCTGGCACGTGAAGAAGTCGTTGAGAGTGTAAATCAGTCAACGAATAAAATGTTGGAAAAAAAGTACCTGATGTTTTTTCGTTCTCCTTGTATAGATTACTTTTATTAACAATGAGTAATGCATTCGGAAGAGAAAAACATGTATATGTTGGTATGTTCTTGAAAATATAAGCGAAAAGAAAACAGTGACATTCACAGTAAACGGATTTTATTTGACTATTGTATTTAAGCTTAAGATCATATTTTGATGGTACATTAAGACTCAAACAATCGTACAATTCATTTTCTGAAGAAGTCAACACAATGTCCCCTTCTAATGATGATTTTATTCTCGATGATCGAAGATTTTCCAATTAATTAACCAGTCTAAGTAGATCATCGTAATATTTAACTCGTAATATAAGAAATTTTCATTTTTAACCTATAGTTGACAATTAATTAATAATTCGCAATCTTCAGTATTGAATGTGTAAACTCGAGATTCTACATATGAAATTCGATCGTGCTTTACAGTAGAAAACACTCTACTTTTATTCTCTGAATATTGTAATTGTAATGTAGAACGGTAAAGTAAACGATCCAGTATGAATTGCAGTTCACTGTCACCGAGTCCATATTGTTTGTTTATGTAGCGAGTGGAATAAAGTCTTTCGAAGGTAACATAACTTGAAAGAATTTGCGTCCGCTGTGCTATTAATGAAGTTTGATCATTACCCCGGAACAAGAACACTCTACTTTAGAGAAAACACTCATTCTGATCATTAAGGATAATCTACGTATGTGATGAAAATCTAGGCTGGTTGATATCTTTGATCTACTCATTGTTTTGGATACATAAAAGAAGGATTGCTGAGCACTTTTACTTCGTTCATTGGGATAAAAGAAATGTCACGCATTCAGCAAATCATGTCTAAAACAATCAGTGCTAGTACCATTATTTGAAGTTTTGTAACTGTAACGTTTCTCGCACATAGCATTTCTTGTTAAAATTCGTTCGATGGTATAGCGGTTCATATCAAAGAAGTGATTAGAAATTCAAAAATAAGATTGGAAACATCATATTTGAATAATTCAATAGAAACCTTATCTTTTAAAAGATACAAATGCTGTTTTGCGGACGGCAGGAACTGAAGTTATATTTTTCATCAATTCAGTCACGTGATGCTCTGTACTTGCAACGATATATTCGTGCAAACTTTTGTCCATACGACGATGTGTCTGGCGACATTCAGTCCTGGCGTCGTTTTTTCGGATACATAATGATCTATCAGTTGAGTTTTTAGGTATCGAAGACAAGGCGCTCTACTGATGATTAGACCATGACAGCCATCTAAATGGCAATAAACTAATTAACAAAGGCTCCGCATACTATTCATGGTTGTACGAAGAGTGGCTACGGCTTTAAAATGCCAATTGATTTTGCTCAAATATTTGAGGCACGAGAATTCGTTCAGTAGGATTGTCATCATTTCTGGAGATTGAATGCAATACAATGACAGTGCACATAGGTGTGATAATTGCAGAAGTGACGGAAAGTAAATGGGAATGTAATTCGACTGTGTCGATCGGTGTATATTCATCATCGGACAAATGTGTAATGTGATAGTTTGATTTGAAATTAGCGGACGATACTTTTGACATAGAAGACAAAACTCAGATTTCCAGATCGAATAAAAGAGTATTGAAGCGATAATTCAGATCATAGAACGCATAGAAAAGATCGAGCAGAGTTTCATTCGTCAAACGTAAAGGCAAATGTAACTCCACCATGGAGACCACTAATTGTGGACTCTATGCCGGTCACAAGTCCGGATAAAGGAGGAGTGTTGGACGGAAGGGGTGCAGATACCGCCGTCTGTAAAAAGAACAAGACGACAGAAACCAACCATGAACGTTTTCAGAGGAAATTCATACCGGCTCGGACGGCGCCCGGGTGAACAAGGTCCGCGTCCTCTGCTGAGTGACCAGGGCAGAGTCGATAAGTTGGCGACTGGAAGGAACACACATACGAGCTATACGACGAAAAACACGCAAAGGCTAACTCTTGCCAAAAATTCTTTGACAGTTGGAACATGGAATGTGCAGACCCTATGGGCTGCTGGAAAATTGGAATTATTGCGAAACGAAATGAAACGTTTCACATATGATATAATTGGTATTTCNCGCTCTGAATAAGTTTTCTCCCGCCCAACACACTCCACCGATCAGTACATTAGCTGAGAGGAGTGTTGTATTGGCTAATAGTTTGAGGAATGCTGATGTTAGTGCACCGACGCGCTTTGTTCAAGCTAAAACTTCGATAATTGAACTGCGCATGCGCATTTTATACAGTGACATTGATGAAAAAATCAAAAAAGAACTGGGAGATCAAATGTCTCAGTTAAAGCATCTCATACAAGAGGGTGCAGATACATCAACTAGTTTACTGGCTACATTTGCGTCTACACTGGATAAATTACGAATCTATACAAAATTTGCGGTAGAAAATTTTTCCAAAGCTGCCAATCAACAAACATCAGATCGGTAAGGAAGCGATACTGCAAATAAACTAACCAAATCGTATGAACAATATCAATCTTCAATATCTTCACAAATTACTTATCTATCACACGACGCTCAACAAACTTCGCTAACGTTGGAAACTATTAAGGTTAAATTAGAAACTATTCAAGAGCTAAATTTACACGGACGATATATTTCTTTAAAAAAATCGATGAATTAAAAAATGATTGGTTTTGGAATCGTATATTTGGTAGTAATACGCATGGTATTACCAAACACGAGCGTAACTTAGAGATACTTGCCATGTTTGTCGAGTTTGTGAATATTGCCTTGGAAAATCTAAATGGTTTAACCATCAAATTGCGAAAGTTCAAAGACGATGTAGACAATCTGAAGCATCATACATATCTCCAAAACGACATGTACAGTTACTTAATGAAGCTCTCGGTAAATTACGTACTGCAAATGATGCTTTTCAGGCGAAAATACATAGAGAAAACCCTTCTGATGATACTTTATAGATTGCAGACTTTATCTAAAAATATTTTACAAAGATTTTTCATAATGATTCTATGTAGATGGATTAGTTTTTCTTAATAAATTGCAGAATACTTATTCAAGAGTGCAAGTTTGCTTAGTTCTCTTTCATTCACTCTACATCCTCATCATAGAGAATAAAAACGTGAAAAGTATTTTGATTTCTCATGTCATTATATTCGAAAAAAAGAGATTGTATTTATCATCTTATATCCAAATAACTGGACTAACCCGTTTAGGAACGAATGCATGGTCTTACANTAAAATTGTCCCATTTGTATTGTACCTGTGTTACAAACACCTAGCCCAAGTAATGAACTTCCAATGGTTAATGTCATTGGAATGCTACCGGCTTGAAAAGAAAATGGAGCTGAACTCGATCCATACTGACTACCATTAACATATAATCGTTCTCCATTATTCAATGAATAAGTTGCCGCGACATGAGTCCATGAGAAGAGAGGAACAATGGAACCCGTGATTGGTACATTAGTTGCATTCCAACTGTTGATTGCTATTTGTCCTGACGAAGACAAGCCCATAATTGGTAAACACCATGCATTGGTTTGTGCACCATCCACCCGACTACTCAAATGCATAATTGTCCCTCCAGAAGAATTTGTTGGATAAATCCAAATCGAAACTGTGTAAGACCATGCATTCGTTCCTAAACGGGTTAGTCCAGTTATTTGGATATAAGATGATAGAACTGGAAATGAAATGGCTTGATTTACTCGTCCCATCGACGTGTAGGTATAGTTGAGTCCTGTTCCATTGATTGATAATGGTCCACTGTCGAGAAGAGTACCACTATCAAATGTGAGATGAGCAACACGAGTTGCATCAGATAATATTGTACTTGTATTTCTTATCCACGGATAATATTGAATAGAATCTAGACAACCACTGAAATAATTATTTGGGCTATTGATAACTCCTGTACCAATAGTGAAATCCCTAAACAGAGAGTTAAAAGTAATGTAAAAAATTAAAGAAAATTTTTCGTACCCAGAAGACCCTAAATATGGTCCAGCGCCACTCCGTGATACATCCAAATATCCATTGATATAAATCATTTGTGAACGTGTTGAGTAATCATAGACAACAGCCTACCCATCGAAAAATTAAATGAATATAATTTCTTTGTCTATCAACTTACTAAATGATACCATCGATTTGCAATCAAAGTCTAAGCAGAAAAATTTCTAGATAAAAACTTCTACAGAAAATATTTACTTTGCTTGAGGTGAGATCATCATTACCAAAACCGAATTGAACACGTTGATTTCGAATGATTAAATGAAAAAAATGATCGGTAACGTTCTGATCAAATTGATCAAGAATATAATTATCCGTATATGAACTATTGTAATAGAATGAATCTCCGTACAGCCACATTTCAAATGTAAATGATATATTCGCCAGATTAAACAATGGTGGATTATTAACAGTTACCGACGATTGATTGAATTGAAGACATGTACCAATTCTATTGTAGGTTGAAGATTTATATGTTGGTCCGTTGTTACCAATTCCATTGAAATTATTATACAAATCTTGTAAATTGTTATCGAATGTCCAATAAATCGGTACTTCTACAGAATCAGAGAAAGCTGAATCAGTGATAATTGTTTAAAGGTTTTACTTAACACAGCCGTTGTAGTAGTACCAATCGTACTGACTAAAGTAGTTTCTGACTCTTTCATTGCTTTGATTTGTTTATCTACAAATCAGATGAAATATACTTCTTCTTTTACCGTTTGAAACAACATTACCTCGAACGACTAAAGTGATCATCGTTGTTAAGATGATTCCGGAACAGAGTCCTCCAATTATTAGTCCGATCACTAAGTATGTCGCATGCATTTTCANGAACATTTAGAGATGTAATCTTTCTATTCCTATTAAAAAAGCGTTGCGTTATCATTGGATTCTATCATAACGTAAACGTATATATGTAATATGATTTCGAAAGGAAGAACAGTCATTTACTGTCTGTAAGATGAAAGCTTCTACCTTAATTTATATCGTTTTTATACTTCATGCTTGTTATTCCGTGGAATATGAAGCGATCCAAAGAACAGCTTTTGATTTCTGTAAACATATTCCCCTTGTCAGCATGTCGTACAGAGCTATACGTAGTGTTGCGTATGGTTTAGCAGGCGATGTGGATGAACTGAAAAATACTTGGGAAATGGATTTAGCAGGTTTCAGCGCACTTCGAACGTATCGAAATTTAATAAATGCTGTTCGTAGCTTATTTCCTGCCAAACAAGGGATATAGATTGGTACCCGACGAATATCAACTCGAGATTAGGTAGTTTTCATAGAATTTCTCCAAAATCGGAAACTCGTGTGTCCCTGCCTGGGAATATTATCATTCGTAATTTCGGAAGGGTATTTTCCGGCAGTAATGAGCGAGTGTTTCGAATAAAGTATGGCACTTGTAGAGAATGCAAGCAGGACAACCTAGAAAGGATAGCATGTAGAAAACTCGTTTGAACTCTGCTTTGAATATTGAGATGTAGGATTGAATTATTCGACGATGCAGGAACTGCCGTTGAGATACGTTTAGAAAAAAACTTGATCAGCCTTGATGATAAAAATACGAAGGTTTGACAAAGAGAAAATAGTGGAAAGCATATTTGGATTGCTCGTTGAATATCCGCATCGGAGTTTTAAATATTCGAGATGAAGAAGTTTTGGAAAAACTGAAATTATTGCTGTATTATCGTACTCATCTACATTGATTGTTTAAGATCGGAGTTGTTTCAACTGACCCATATGCAGATCAACAAGCCGATGCAAGTGATGATCAAATATTTTGTATGAACAGACTCGGAAATTCAGGTGAAATGTCATTGATACACAGGCGTCTTCGAAGCTATGGTAAGAGAAGTAGACTATTGATTAAGTCCTGACCTTCCAAATATGAAAATATTGTACAGAATAATTCAATTGGTAATTGCTCGAAGCGTATTTTTAAAATATTTCTTCGGTGCTTCAATAGCGCATGCACATATGATATCTATGAAGATTTATTAGACTGATCAAATAAAAACTTTCATTTTTTTTTCTTTTCTATAATATTACTGAGTAACTAAGTACCTAGCAATCATATGACAATCCGATAGAAAAGTTAAAGGCGCTGATGATAAATGTTTGCCTTTATTTTTTTTATTTCTCTTCCTTTCAAGAATAGTGCACGTTGAAATACTTACTCGAAGAACAGAAGAGAAAAGAGAGGTTATCCTCAAAAGCATCATAACATACATAGTGAAAGAACTTGCGCGGTTCAGATGAAACTATAATCATCAACGAGTAGGTTATATACATCGTGCATGACACCGGCAAGGATTCCTTAAATACATAACATAAGCTATGCTTATTCCTTACTAACGTTTTTTGAAATATTTTTCATATAAAATATCGCAAGTATATTGAATTGTTCTCAATAAATTTACTTGTTCTTGGTAACAGGTACTTGACATAAAGTCTTATTTTTACGTGTCGATGTTCCTTCGTGATATAAGACTCTTTTTCTATGCTTTTATTTTTCATGTATTCCATTGGTATAATTTCCCAATGAGAAGACTTTCAACATGGAAGTTAAATATAATATTTGACTAGAATAATGCGACAGGAGAAAATCGCACGTGAAAATGTTCTATAACTTTATTATTGACTGATAGGACTTGGTTGAGATGCATAACATGAAATATAATGCTGTCAATGCGTCACATTGTTGACACCATATCACATCATTTGAAAAGTTCTCGTGTATTACTTTAAAAACATTTACCATATTCAATAAGGGAACACACTGAGTCCTTTTTTTACACTTACGATCTGTTTGCATTCACAAGAACTCAACTAATACAGATGTAGACGAATGAAATCGCTTACCTCAACTATATATCTCGTGTAAATCTAACATACGGTGGTTTAGCGCTGTTCACCATTGTTCGATGGATCAATCGATGACGAGCTGTGCTCATCAATTTATTTGTTATTTTATGCTCGATGGGATCCACCAGCCCACATCTGCTGTACTATACACACATGACGAACTCTATCAATCAAACTCAATATGTGCCATACCCAGCGCCATAGCTGCAACATACAACACTTACAATGGTTTACTCATCTGCAGCTTGCTCCCCATAATAGTCTTATCGGTACTTTCATTGTTGACTTGGTGGAACATACGATAAAAAATTGTTCGACGTGAATCGATGGAACAATCTCTAATTCGTTCGATGTTTGCCGAAATCACCATGGTTCTGTTAGCATCGACTAGTTTTATGATCAGACGCATATATCTACTGTATACAAACGGTTTTGCCACCAATGCATATCGAGCAGCTCAAGAGAATATTGTCCATAGTGTACTTAAATTGATTGGCTTTGTCATTCATGGTTTTCATTTTTTGCATATTTCTACAGCTCTAAACTGTTCCGACAAAGTTTTCTAGGCCTGTTTTCAAAAAGATAAGATAGAATTCAATCTGCTACTTTTCCTTCGAGAAATTCAACTTAAGAACATGAAATTGATGTTTCGATTAACAACATTAAGATCAATATACGATCAATAAAATTCCATATTGTTTTGCGCGTAGTCGAAAATAAATTTATCTTGAAGGTGTGGATATGAGCGATCTCGTATCCAGTGCACTCTCATCTTTTATTTTCTGCAAAAAAGTTTTTTTCAGTACAAAACTGAGTGTGTCACTGATCCATAATATTCATCATCAGAATATTTTTGCTGACAAATTGAAGCTTTTTCATCTCTCTGTAATCAAAGGGATTTAAAGACAATTAATAACGATATCTCCAAACTAAATGACACATATAACTTTGATCAAATAAAGGATTGGGAGCAGTTCTATAAAAGCACAAGAAAATTTATACAGCAACAATCACACAACATTCATTTCAATTCAAATATGAATCAAACAATTGTTTTCTTTCTCCTACTCGTAGTCAATGGTATTTGCTTGGCGAAAGCAATCGATACAAGTACATGCAGCTGCACATGTTGCTCGGGAAGCGGTTGTAAACCAGCATTTCAAGGTGCTTTCCCTCTGGATTCTTGTTTTATTATGCGGTGTATGGAATTATGCAGCGCAAAATATGCAGCGTGTCCACTCTTCGGATCTGGCGGTCATCTAGGCGCACAGTGCGACACACGTAAATCATCCTAATGCTCATTTTCATCTATTCGAAATTAATTTAAACATTATTAATAATAAATAATATTCCAATGTGATTGAAACTTTCTAGTCAATCAATCATGGACATTCACGAACTCATTTCTCTGTTTAATCTGATCTTCTTGATTCAACTCAGTGCACACTTCATTTTCATCAGATCGACACTGTTTTCAATGAAAGACGCTCGCGTTTGAAGAACGAAAGCACACTTTGTGTTGATTTCATGTCATATATCATCGATGGTCTTCAGAAATCAACCACTTACAACAGAACTGTCGGCCAGCGCTGTTCAGGTAGTGTACAGCATGGTGAATGCTATGTTCAGTTCATACGTAAAAAAACCTGGCTCATTTAGTTGGGATTAGGTATGTCGTGAACTCGCGTCTCGCCCTAGATGATCTTCTTTCATTCATGGTGCAGCTTTTGCGCCAATTGGCATCACAGGTGATGTCTATTTCGAAGATTAACAAAATTACATTTCGTATCGCTTCGTTTTTCCGAACATCCGGTCACGCTGTCAGATGTTTGGAATTGGTGGCGATAGTGTTACAATATATTCACTTGGTTTTCAGCACAAACATATATCGTAATCTTTCGCTGCCAGCGTCAAGTTCAATCAGAGAACAACTAATTGTCGGAGTTGAAATAGTGATCCGATTGTCAAAATGTGTCGGGTTGCAAGATATATTTTGATCTACATTGGCAAATACAACAAGTCTCAGCGAAATATGAGAATAAATAAACCACTTCATGGCAAACATACCTGTAGCAGGATATATTACTGCAGCATCATACTGATATACTAAACTCATGACAAAAAGATAAGATGAGTTACCTATTGTTATATCTACAACAGGGTTAGAAATATGTAAAAGAACACGAGCAACCACTCCTCCTATTCAATTCTAAATTTGAGTATATTTTCCTCTATATCATCGTCACGATATGCACACTAACAGTGCTTATGTTGAATATAACAATGGAAATAACAGATTTAACAGATGTTGGCAACATCGTCGATCTAAAATGATTATCATCATTATTGTGCTAATAGCAATACTTGCTATTACACTAGGCCTTTTGTTGAAATTTGTCATTCTTAGCCCGAAGAAATCAAGTCCTGAGATTACTACAATAATATCATCTACATCTACATCAGAGTCAACACTCCCATCCACAACTACATCTGCATCTACACCCACATCGGCACCGACAACCATTACTACTCAGAAGTTCGGTAAGTGATGCTATCACATTTTTTTATCCATTGTATTACAATTGGTATCTACAGCGTGGTTGAATACTGGCGACATGAATTTTGCAAGACATGAACATACAGCATCGTTATTACCCGATGGTAAAGTCTTGGTGACGGGTGGAACTGAAAATATGTCTATTCAAAATGCTGCTGAGTTGTATGATCCATCAACAGGACTTTGGACAACGACTGGTGTTATGAATGATATTCGTAAGGGACATATAGCGGTCGTATTAAAATCTGGCAAAGTTTTAGTGGCCGGTGGGTACAACGAAAATGCATACTTAAACACAGCAGAATTATATGACCCATTGACAGGAATGTGGACGATGACTGGCAGTATGAATGATGCACGCAATTTTGCTGCAGCTTCTATCTTAGAAAACGGAAAAGTGTTGATTTGTGGAGGAAATAATGCAAATAATATTTTGAATACGGCAGAACTATATGATCCATCGGGAGACCTTTGGACGGCTACTCGAAACATGCACTATGCTCGAAATGGACATACAGCATCTTTATTATTAGATGGACATGTACTCGTTACTGGTGGATTCAGTGATCATACATATTTAGATAGTACAGAATTCTTTGATTCATCCACAGAAAGTTGGATAATCGCCTACACTATGCATTTTAAGCGGCAGTATCACATAGCAATTGTGTTATCAAACGGAAAAGTACTTGTCACAGGTGGATCTTTTGGCGGTACGACACAAGATACTGCTGAATTATACGATCCAGTGAAGGATTTGTGGGACAAAGCTGGTACAATGATACATAAAAGACATAACCATGTGGGGATCTTATTAAAGAATGGAGAAGCGTTGGTAAGTGGAGGATCCGATGGTATTCATGCTCTCAAAAGTGCGGAGTTATATAATCCATCAACAAGAATGTGGAAAAGCGCAGGCGATATGAATTATAAACGAGAATTTCATGCTGTATCCCGACTGACAGATGGTCGTGTATTAATGATCGGTGGATTCTATGGTGACGCAGATTTAAGTAGTACTGAATTATATAATCCTGAATTTTGAGAGTGTGGGCGCGCTTTCGTGACAAAACATCAATTCGCACTCATACAAATCGACGACAACTGTTGCCTGTTTTATTTTAACCACACTACAGTATTAGTTTCCTCGACAAAATTGTCTCTTTTGAACAACACTCTTATCATTCTTTTCGTAGTTATTTAGTACCACTCTGAATTAAGATATGTGAGTAAAGAGAATAGCTACAATCCTTCTAGTGATCGTGCTATACTATAATCATGGATGATTCAAGATGTCCTCGAGATTTTTTGCACAAGTCTTCGTAGCCGGATGATTTGTACCAAACACACGGGTGGTAAATTCCACAGCTTTGAGTGCATATTCTGCTGCTTCATCAAAACGTCGAAGAAAGGATAATGTAGCAGCGATGGTATTGTACGCAATACCGATCTTCGTATCATCAGATTGTAATATAGCCTCGAAGATATCCAATTGTTTATATCGATAATCTAATGATTCGTTCAATCGACTTAATTTGTCGCAGAGTTCAATCATATTATTATATAAAATAGCGAGATTAGGATGATTTGGTGGCATACGTTTCAAATAGATATTCAATGCATTTCGACAATAGGCCAACGCATCATTATATTGACCTAGCGCATGATATATGCTTGATATATTATTAAAAGATCTGGCAATATCGGGATGATCACCCGGAAGAGAAGCAAGTTGAATGTCAAGTGACTTTTTCATATGTTCTAGAGCTTCTTTCGAACGTTTTTGTGCTTGATACGCATTGCCCATGTTCATATGTATCACGCCAATATTTGGATGAGTTGCCGGATAGATCTCTATAGATATATCAAGTGCCTTTTGATAATTCAAAAGGCATTTATCATACTCCTTCTCTGTAAAATGAATAAAGCCGATATCATTATAACAATTGAGAACATTTTCCTTATTTGGCTGCTCGAGATTCGATTCAATTTGCAGTGCTTCATTTAAATAATGAAGAGATTGCTTTTTGTCCTGTTTGTCGTTTTTACAGATCACAGCCAGACTGATATAGATCGCTGCTAACCGATGGTAATCATTCTTTTGCTTTTCATGCAATTTTTCATGTAGGGAAAGTGCTTTTCTCAAGCAGTCGAATGTTTTCTCATAAAGAGCAAGATGCTCATAAGTTTGTCCAAGTTCTTTAAGAATCATAATTTGTCCTCGCGATGCTGATTCAGATTTCAAAGCCAACAAATAGAATTCAATTGCGAGCAAATAACCACCCATTTTATAAGATAATTTCGCTAAAGAATGAGCAGGCACAAGTAATCCAACTGAAATATCACTTCGAAAATGCTCCGTCATCATTTGCAATTGTTGATCAAATTCATTTGTTAGTATTAAATGAACATACCACGGTTCATTGTTCATACCTTTCTTTATATCAACAATTCGAAAAACACTACCAAAGGTAAATAACCACTCCTTTTCGGTTTGCCCAAACGTACTAAACTGTTGTATATTGGCGAAAGGATTCGTTTGATCTGTTAAAGATGAATCTAGAGAAATTTCAAATATCATAGCAGTTTCCTCGTCGCTTGTTACACCTGCGTATATCGTTGCTAATGACAGATCTTCGGTTGTGGAGAAAAAATTCGATATAGATAGTAGACCGCCTTTGTTATTCCGAACCTTTTCGAACTCATCTTTGGACATACGCTGGCCACGATAGACAACCGATACGGGTGAATTGCTCTTTTGCTGTTCATAACATTGGATTAGATGAAAGTGTAAATTACGGATGAATGTTCGCATTTTATATAAAACTTCGACATTTTGTGTTCGAAGTGCTCTATTTAGGATCTTATAAAGAAAACTTTCACGTGTGTACCATTTTATTGCTTCATGTGATTGATAGTTCTTTTCGAAGTCATTGATAAATTGCAAGGCAGGAACATTATCAGCATATTGTTCGCGGAAAAATGCGATCATCTCGTCTTTACTATCATCTTTTATCTCAATGAATATATCTTTTAGCAATTGAGTATACATAAACGCCGCTTCTTGTCGGTTTAGTTGCTCATTAGAACATGTGAATAAATCTCGTGTAATCAGATTGAATGTAACATTATCATATTCATTACGACGAATATCTGCTCGAATTGACTCGTACAATGTTTCGTAGTTGGAAACAACACCTTTAAACTTTCGAAGAGAAGAAACCGAATTCGATCTGTCACTTGAAGCGAGCAAATATATTGAGTCAATTTGTGACATTTGACATAACAGTTCAATAGTTGATTCTCTGAGATCTTTGGTTGTAATTAATACAATATGTTCATCATTTAAATCAACAACATAATTTAAGAAAGACTCTTCATCATCAAATACTTGTACACAACCAACAGTTCGATGTAACTGTTGGATATCATCATCATTAGTTGGATAAAGCCAAATAACAACTACATCTTCTAAAATCTTTCTTGCTGATATTCTATCCATCTGTATGCTTTTTTGCTTCCTGACAAGTGAAAAAGTCGTTGAGAGTATAAACCAGGCAACGAATAAAATGTTGGAAAAAAAGTGCCTGATGTTTTTTTGTTCTCCTTTTATAGATTACTTTTATTAACAATGAGTAATGCATTCGGAAGAGAAAAAATGTATATGTTGGTATGTTCTTGAAAACATAAGCGAAAATAAAACAGTAACACTCACAGTAAACTGATTTTATTTTACTATTGTATTTAAATAGAAATATATCACGAATATTTGGTATTGTATTTAAGGTTAAGATCATATTTTGATGGTACATTAAGACTCAAACAATCGTACAATTCATTTTCTGAAGAAGTCAACACAATGTCCCCTTCTAATGATGATTTTATTTTCGATGATCGGAGATTTTCAAATTAATTAACCAGTCTAAGTAGGTCATCGTAATATTTAACTCGTAATAGAAGAAATTTACACTTTTAACCTATAGTTGACAATTAATTAATAATTCACAATCTTCAGTATTCAATGTGTAAACTCGAGATTCTACATATGAAATTCGATCGTACTTTACAGTAGAAAACATTCTACATTTATTCTCTGAATATTGTAATTGTAATGTAGAACGGTAAAGTAAACGATCCAGTATGAATTGCAGTTCACTGTCACCGGATCCATATTGTTCGTTTATATAGCAAGTGGAATAAAGTCGATCGCCGATAAAATCCTACTAAGCTACCATCCATATCTCAGTCATAGTGGAATGTACCATTGATAATCCTTTAGTCAAAATGAACTTGGAAAAGAACAGATAAATCGTTTAATATATTCATCGAAATTGTCACTATCAGATACCGAAAAAGTCATAAATAAATGAAACACTTTTAATTTAGTTAAATGCTCAGTAATTAAGCTTTCCCACTGATTTCTACCTAGAGAAAAGCTTTGCATAAACATTTTCAGATAGGTTAAGTTCAGTAAGTATTTCTAAAAGGTTATTGCTTGAGTTTCCACTCGTATACACAATTTCAATTCCGATAAAGATTGGAAAAGAAATTGTGAGTGCTTTTTCGGTGATCGGACTGAATGTCTCGGATAAAATGTTGTAACAATGAAACAGTGTAGGATTTCAAAAGATAAGATTGTTCTCTTTCAGACAAAGATCTTGTAAAGTATGATATAAGTGAAGGAAAAGGAATACCATTCAGTTCGACAGGTAACATAAGTTGAAAGAGTTTGTGTCCGGCGTGCTATTTATGTAGTTTGATTATTATCCCGGAAAAAGAACACTCTACTTCAGAGAAAACACTCGTTCTGATAATTAAGGATAATCTATTTATGTAATTAAAATCTAGACTGGTTCATATGTTTGATCGACTCATTGTTTTGGATGTATATAAAGGAAAGATCGCTAAGCACGTTTATTTTGTTCATTAGAATGAAAGAAATGTTACGCATTCAGAAAATCATGTCGAAAAAAGTCAGTGCTAGTATCATCATTTAAAATTTTGTAACTGTAACGTTTCTCGCACATAGTGTTTTTTGTTAAAATTTGTTCAATGATATAGTGGTTTATATCAAATAAATGGTTAGGAATTCAAAAATAAGATTGGAAACATCATATTTGAATAATTCAATAGAAATCTTAGCTTTTAAAAGATACAAATGTTGTCTTGCGGATGATAGGAAAAGAAGGTTACATTTCACACTTTTCATCAATTTGGTCACGTCACGCTCTATATTTGCAACGATATATCTGTGCAAGCTTTTGTCCATACGACAGTGTGTCTGGCGACATTCAGTTCTAGCGCCGTTTCATCGGATACATAATGATCTATCAATTAAGTCTTTAAATATCGAAGACGAGGCGTTTTCTCCACTAAATCAAACAATGTATCCAACTTCATACAACCATTTTGATAGAGAAAGTGCTCTACCAACGATTAGGCCATGACAGCCACCTAAATGGCAATAAACTAGTTAACAAAGACTCTATATACTATTCCTTATTGCACGAGGAGTGGCTACGGCTTTAAAATAACGACTGATTATGCTCAAATATTTGAGGCACCACAATTTGTTCCATGCGTTTAGTAGGATTGTCATAATTTCTGGAAATTGAATGCAATACAATGACAGTGCATATAATTGTAGAAGTGATGGAATGTAATTCGATTATGTCGGTGTATCCTCATCATTGGACAAATGTAATGTGATAGTTTGATTTGGAATTAGCGGACGATACTTTTGACATAGAGGACAAAATTCAGATTTCGAGATGGTACACTTGAAATCGATCGAATAAAAGAGCATTGAAGCGATAATTCAGACCATAGACCGCATAGAAAAGATCGAGCAGAGTTTCATTCGTCAAACACTTGAACTTCATATTTTTGAACATCAGAACAATAAACAACGAAGAAAGGTAAGTGATGCTTTCTGTAAAGAATGTCAATGAAAAAATATTTACCTGTAATGGTTCGTTTTTTATAAATAAACCATGTGGCGTAATTACAAGTAATGTTGTGACTTAGGGAGTGTATTTATCGAGAGTTTTGTGTATTAATACTTAAACTCGCTATTTCTTGTTTTTTTCTTCTTCTAAATATTGAGAGTTTCACTCAACTCTGTCCGGAAATATATTCAAAATAATTTTTTTCATCGCATATCTTCCTTGATAAGAAAAATGATGAACAAAAACAAATTAAAACAGATAAACGATCTATCGAAGATATCATAAAGGCAAATATAATTAATTTCTGTTCATTGTCCGGATAACAACTTGAACTTCATATTCTCTTTTTTATTGTGGCTTATGCAATTATTTTAAGATCGCGATGCTTATGTAGTTTAACATTAGTTTTCATGCCAAAAAATCTGATATAGGACTTTTTTCATATAAACAAACCGTCCGTCGATCTTTAGGTAACAAACAGTAAATCATTTAAATATGTGAGCTTTCTGTCAGGGTAACACCATATGCGACAGTCGCTGACTCTTTGTGTTGAATATGAATTGCATCCGTAGGTTAATACATACCGACCAAATCTCGGTAGTGTACAGTTATAATAAACTTCCTCTGATAGGGACGTGTCATTAAGGTGACTAAGATAATATTCGTAGTTTTCAATGATATCGATCGGCGTTGACCAAAGAAAGAGTTGTTCACTAGTTATATTGAATTTGTAAAGATCGACGAAAATCAGCTTTCGATAAGAATTATCTGGAATTGAAATATTCCATTTCGATGGCCATTCACTGAAGCAATAGGAAAGAATCTGATAAGGATCGTTTTCAATTCTTAGTGAACTTCGAACATGCAAACAATCATGTTGTAAGATCGAACTATGTTCCTCAATCCATTCAGTTAAATCCAAATTGATTTGAATGAATTTCATAGTTAATATCGAGTAGAAGAATAGAAATAGTTGAAAAACAAGCATCACCTGTGGAGTTTACTATTTCACCATTATGAAATCTGAATAAAAAAAAACTTCTTGTGCGTGAATATTCATCTTATATGCTAAAGATTATGTGCGTGACCAAATCCTTTTATGTACTCTCTGTCAGAGTAAAACATGACTTTGAGAGTTCTTAATATAATCTGTTTAGCTTTAACCCTTTGAGTCCTGACGTTCCAAATAATCGATCAATAATTAATCCATTCTATCCGACTTCTCAGTGTTACGTAAGCAACAAGATTCTCTAGATAAAACCGAAGGTTCATTGCTTTTTCTGGAGTCATACGTATATAGATTAAAAGGGAAAACGTACATAAATCGTAGTTCTAGAAGCGTGTGTAATTCAACAATATAGACTTATACTATAGTACATTGTATTGCTGTTCGACTGACTTCTGTAATGCGATCGGTTTACCTTCGGAATCGAGTTCGGTCTATTCAAGATCGATTCTGACTGTAGTTATCAATGTGTATTGACATTCATTGCGATCAATTAGAAAACACTTTCCTAGTGTTCGTCTTAGTTTCCACTCATATTTTCTGTCTCTTTCTTTTTTCTTTTCGAATTTCTCTGGAAATAAATAAGGTATATGAGCGTGAGCGTTCGCCCACGAAAAAATTTTGAAACAGATACCGCTGATCGTCGCAGTTTTTTCATAATGGCTGCGGTTATATCGTTGAAGGTCGCTGTGTCGAAAAGAAACCGCGGTTAACAGCGGTGTGGTGCAGCGCAACATAAATATATCGGTTTAGTGGAAAATCGACAA